TGCTATTAAGGAAAATGGAAGGTCAGATCCAACAAACCTGTGACTGGTAAGAACAAAAGAGAATCTAGAAATTCCATCCGAATAGTTGTTGCGTGATAGTAATATTTTATTAATATAGCGCCTTTCACAAAGCACTTTACAATTGTTGTTGCTGCCCTGGTGTCCGCTGCGTTGGGATTGGCTGGGATCACTGTGCATTACTTAGGTCCTGGCTGCGGGGACACAATCTTTGCCAGCGATTACATTTGCTAAACATTCCTCTTGCTCCAGCTTCAATTTCTTGATAGAACCAGACCAGAATACTTTACTATTGCATTCTTCACCAAACTACAACCTGCCCGTTCGATGGAAACTCTTGACGTCACCCACATCTAACTACAACACCCGCCTCCAGCGCTCTCTGATTGGTCGGATGGATTTCAACCGATTATAATTGCAAACACAGGGACCAGACCCAGACGTCACATGCAGGGCATGATGATAAGGCCAGGCTAGTTTGATGTACACTGAACTACAAATAAATAAACATTAATTTGTCTCTCGCTCACACATGGGCCAGACCTATTGTACATGTTTTCAGTGGTAGGTGAATCCGGAGGCAAGGGGAGAACGTGCAAACTCCACACAGAAAGGACTGGAGGTGGAATGGAACCCAGTTAGCAGTTGATAATTAATTAGCAATTAATATGTGCTAGCTTGTATAACAACAAATTACCTAATAGCTAATAGTCTTTGTGTTCAAAATGATTACGACACACTCAGTACTAGTTTACTTCACTAGTTTAAAACAACTAACTTACTACATTTAAACAAATATTAATAGATTGATATTTAGCATATTTTAAACCTTCCTCAGTCTTGTCAAATTCATTTTTCAATCCAGTATTTAGATCACGATACAAAAATCGACATGCCGAAGTGTAAAAAGATAAGTAATAAATCAGGGCTAACCATGCTTCCAGGTACAGAGCAGAGTGGGAGCTCAAGGTCAGTAAAGACCAAATGAAGATCTGTTTGAAGGTTGCCCAAAAAATGCTTTAATCAAACTCTAGTTCACTTTGGTTTGCGTCTCCTGAGCAGAAACCACCAAGTATCTTACAGAGGTCATTCAGGTTTTGCCCAAATTGTTAAACTTAATAAGTGAATAAGTAATCCTTATTTACATAAATAGGGCATAAAATAACCTCTAATGGGAGGAGATACTCAGCGTATGTTAGGATAAGATATGATAGGATTAGATAAGATAGTTTATTGATCTCACAGGAGACATGTAGATGTCACATCTGGCATGGGCAGAAAGAAATGTGCAACATGTTAAATGCAGGATATATTATGTACAATAAAAAGTGTCAATCAGGAAACAGTGTCAATAGTAGTGCAGGTTTTTTAGTCTTAATGCAAGTGACTTAAAGTGACTTATTGTACAGTCTGACAGCGGTGGGGATAGAAAATGTCACATGAGTCTACAGGGGGCAGAGATGGCAAGTTCCAGAGGTAAAATGTTCTTTTTTAAATCAAACTTTGGTTTCATATTTCATAGATCTAGCAATAATGTAATATGTACCTAATATGATTCCATGTGATGCACTGCACCAGAGTGAGCCTGAGGCTAATTTACTTCATGCAGACATCAGCTGCTCTCGCACAGCTCACAATAGTCTGTGTTAACATTACATCCTTTTAAACGTTCAACACAGAATCAAGTTTCTACTTTTTACAGGGTACACAAGCTGTTTACACAAACATGGGAGTGCTGCAACATGCAACACCCCGAACCTTTTCAAAACTAACTACATTTCCCTTCGCTTCAGTGCAAGGCGGAGACATTCTTATACATGAAATAAGAGGGAGCAATTTGTGTTCTACGGAGAAGTGTACACTAGAACTTTGCAATTAAACAGTCAATGGATCAATGTTTGTATGTTTGTGTGTGCATGTGTGTGTTAGGGGGGCCTCAGGGGCCTGTCCTAATGAGCTATCTGTGTGAATTTCTAACAAGAGCTCAGTGCAGCGCCCACGGCACTGTCATCCTGGGCTGTGGCTGACCTTGGTCGACTGCTCGGCTGCCGTGTCGTTTGCTATATTTATGGCACCAGCACCTTGCTGTGTGTTTGAGCGTGTGCATTCACCAATATGTGCATCGGAGTAGGGCACTCAGGAAGCAAATACTGTGTATATCAGTATAATGAATCAAGTGGCAGAGGCAGAGAGGAATGAAAGCTGGAAAGAGAACCAGGTATGTAGAAACCCATTTTACTTTGCTGTGTTTTTCCTCTGGCAACCAATCTCTAAGGAGCCAAACACCCTGCATTTAGACTTTATTAATGCATTAGTTTATTGTTGCTCAAAGTCAGGCCTATTGGACTACATCAAATCAGGGCCTCCAAACAATGTGATCCCATCCTAACAGCGAGAAGGTCCGGGGTTTCTGAATGAAGTGTAAAATAAGCTCCTCCCACTTTGAGCCAGGACTCCACTGGATACAATATTCTCTTAAACACAAAGACATTATTGGTTTAGAGAAAAGTGATGGCTTGGGACTGTCTTTTTGGACAGTTCAGGCAAATATAACTGGAAATGAAATATATGGACTGTGTTAATGTGTTAATGTGTTTATAATTCAATTGTAGAAAGGTGGACCCTTGATCTTTTGACAGGTCATAGATTAGCAGAGGAGAGAGGAGAGCAATCCATATAGTCTATAATTTTACGATATTGTGTGTAACTGTTTTTATAATCTGTAATTGTAGTTAACTAACTTTTGTAAGGTCCTTAAGAAAAAGAAGTTCTTAGTCTCAAAGGGACTTTCCTGTTTACATAAAGGCTAAATACAAAAATAATAATTAAACAACAATTGAATAAAGCTTTTAATAATCTTTTTCATCCCTCTCCTCCATCCAGAGACTCAGACTGGGCCTGCTCAGATTAGAGGGAGAGAATTTATAAACAGCTGAGAATTTATAAACAGCAGTTTTCATATCTTGCTGTGGATAATAGGAGTTAGTTCTGCTTTTTGGCTGGAGTAAGCCAATTCAAAGATGTTGTTAAATCATTCCTTTTGAAGATAAACTAACAGAGTCAATACGCATTTAGTGCAACATTTAAAAATAAAATAAATAAATAAAAATCTTTGTTAAAAACTGTCTTTGCAGCTCCTCTTGAGTTTCCATTGGCCTCAGCAGTATTCGTAATAACGTAAAGTATAACAACGTTAATAAGGTCGTTATTTTGGTCGATTGCGAGTAATCTAATCTAATGCTCCATTATCCTTACTTTCATCTCTGAGGCATGAAGTATTATTTTTTCTAGTGTTCAAACTGTAACATAGCAGAGATGTTCATTGGTTAAACAAATATTTTGACATTACAGCAAACCAATCAGGAGCAGGCTGCTGTGGCCACAGTACTTTCTTCTGATTGGTTGGTGCAAAATACAGCAGTTCGCTTTTTAACAAACACACTCATGACCTGGACCAGACGAGTGAGAAACAGGACTGTGGGGCTCATGTTCCATAACTACAGGTTTTTTTTGGTGCAGATGGAACATTTGAAGAAAGATGACACACTGCTAGCTTAGATGGCAGAACCACAGTGGGTTTGCTTTTGTCTCCCTTCAGAGGTTTCGGAGATCTTCAAAGCTTGGAAGATCTTGGTAAAACCTGAGTAATGAATTTTGTAACTTCTCCACAACTTTTCTGTTATGTTCCTTGGTTTCCATAAACTGTTTGGTGACTGACAGATATCTTTTTTTTTCTTATACAATAAAAACCTTTTATTTTATATAGACTCTGGTTTGACCAATCAACAATGTGAAGGCAACTTCTGAAGGCATTGATTTTGCATGAGGCAGTACTTTTTTTTTCATAAAAAATGTGTAGAACATTTCAGAAGCAAGTTTATGTGATTATAAAACACTGGCAGAAACAACTGCTCGACACACCTGCAGTAACAGTTTTTATCTATAATGTGTCTGTAGAATGCAGAGGTTCACTAATTGTTTTTTTTTTTCTGTCTCATCTCAAAAATATCCAGAGAAAAGGTGGTGAACATACTCCCTATTAACCACAGTACATGCATGTATGGCTTTAGCTTCTGCTAAGCCAGCTGCAGCACCAGTAGAATGATAATAATGCATGTGTGTGAAAGCCACTGGACGCCTGTTCGTTTGAGCACGTGCACAGCCTCAATATGCAAAGCTCCCTGCGCCGGGTTAAGGGAGAGGGGCGTGCTGTGGTGAATACTCATCTGAGCCTGGCAGAGGCTGTGTGTATCCCCCCATAACCTCAGGGCGAGGGGCAGCACCAACATAAATGAAAAGCTGCACACACACACACTCACCCACAAACACACACATGGGCATCCACAGTCACACATGACACGCAAAGGAGCACACAGAGGAGGGGGCGCCGTGACCAAAAGTAAAGTTTTAATTCGCTCCTTGGGGACACTGCTTACTCATCCAACTTCCCCAAGGACCGACTGCCTCTGAAATCTATTCAAATCACATCTCTCCTCCGCCTTTTATTGCATTTCACATATCCCCCCATCACAAAGTGACAAATCACCGCACACTTCACAGAACCAGCATCACCTTCTCTCCATTTTAGGGACACTCTGATTTGGGGGATTTCCACTTTTAAAGTGATTATACAAACTCACTTCCTTCTGCTTTCTACATATCTCAGATGTTATGACGTGAGAAGTATTTGGAGAAACACTCCTCAGTTGTGTTTTGTGGAAACTATAACTTACTGCATATGACACATTTTTTTCCCACAACTAAGCCGACAAACTGTAGCGGCTGTTCCTCAACTTCTCCCACCACTGTCACCAGTCTCTGAACGGTGCACGTTGGACACTAATTTCATCGCATGCTCCTTCGCAAACATGCAAACACACACTTGGGAGCTCCAGCCGCACACTTCCTGCCGGTGTTCTCCCATCCATTCTCAATAAAGCAGGTGATGAAAGTGTCGAGGTCTAATTAGTTTATGCAGACGTATGGAGCTGGTGGGACAGGCATTGTTATTATTTCTCTGCCAGCCTGTACACTGCGACTGGAGCGATGACACTTACAACAGCGCCTGCCGCATCTTCAGCTCTTCTCTTTCAGGAGGCTCTGGGGGGGTGAGGTGCCATCTGGGGAAGGGGGCAGGACGACTAGAGTGAGAGTGTGAGAGGAGAGAGAAGCGGCACTTGATATATTCGTAATGTTCCTTAATATTTTCATTTTGATGTAATTTGTGGCCCCGGTTTTTTAAATATCCGCTCTGTAATAATGTTTAATTTCAAGGGTCAGTCTGCCAAGGAGTATATTAAAGCTGATAAAACTCATTTTCCACAGGCCCAATATCGAGCCCAGATCAGGTTAGGAGGCCAGCCTCCCTGAATATTTCATCTTTTATCACGCCGATAATGGGAAGATGACAGAGGCGCATTATTACAATGAGAGAATTGCTCATTTTCCTGACGGGTAGGGCCGCCTGGCTGCTCGGCTGCCTCCTTCGCTGACTGCCTGCTTCAATGACTTGCTGGGCTGCCGAAAGGAGAAGCCTCCACGGAGTGTTTGTTGCAATAAAAGCAATTCTTCCCAGGGAAAGGAAAGGTGACGAGTGAGAGAAAAACAGGAGGGCTGCGAGCGAGAGGGAGTCCATGCAACTTTCTCCAAACACCACTTATTTGATTGTGATGAATAATAAATGGGGAGAGTTGGATACTAGGACAATATTTTATACAGACCAAGGTGATAATCAAACATTTTGTGCAGGCTCAGAATTAAGCAATTTAATTGAGCCATTAGAGAAGAGGAAAGAGGGGGCCACGGTGCAGATGAAGGGTTGCAGGCTGGGGCACCAGCTCATCAGCACCATTAGAAATTGAATGCTGCCCTGCTCCAAAAGACTAACTGGGCCAATCCTGGTGCCAGAGCAGCTTAATAAATGGACCCAATCATGGCCGTTGTGGGAACCACCTGTGCCCCATACAGGTCAGAACCATTAGACCCACATTAGATGCGTTGATAGACGCAGGCGCCACTCCAGCCACCTCAATAACCAGCATAATAAGACAAGCATAATGACATACTTATGGGCTCGTTAGAAAGACTCAGAGACTGACAGATTGGTTCATATACGGTTTACAAAAGGATAAGCAATAATGTTTCTTTGTGATGGTGGATGTGGCGATAGCAATCGATGGTAACATCAAGACAAAAGCACACGAGAAACTAGAGCAATTCCAAGGAAAGTAAATGTGACAGAAGTGGTTTGGGAGCACTCAGGACAGAGACCCCCGAGCTGGAGGGGGGGCCACAGCAGACGCCTGGAACTCTCCGAGCCCAGAAAGGTATAGAACCCAGAACAGCAGAGATACGGCGCAGAACCCTGGCCTCTGGTAGAGGAGCACTGCTTGTTCTTAGAACACTCTGCTCTTTGATTGGAGCAGTGATGGGAAAGATAAGGATGTGTGATACAGCAGGAGGGCCGTGACATTTATTATGTTAATCTGTAATCAACCTTTATCCAATAAACACTGTCCTTTTTCCATCATACATTTCAGCACAAACTGTTGTCACGTATTATCCAACACAGAATACAAACCAAATCATGCTCAAATGTAAAAGTGTGAGTCTATTCTGTTATTTTACAAAGTGATAGTAGCATCTGCGTGGGGTTTCTCGAGGTGCTCCGGTTTCCCCATCACTAAAAACATGTGCAATAGTTCAGGGTGAATGAGTGTGTGAATGGGCCCAAGGCTACAACCCGGAGATGTGTGTTCATTAACATGCACTGTCACAACAGACACAAATAGACAATACATAAATAACTCAGTTTCTGCAGCACTGCAAGGTGAGAAAGGAAGTGGATGTGACTCTTGGAGGCAGCAGAGGTCACGGCTGACCAGGTCACTGCCAAAACTCTGTCTCTCGACCCCTAACCCTCGCCCCCTTTTAAAAACTAGGGTTGGAGTGGCCAATGGCAGAGGGGTTAGACTGGGGGGGTACAGTGGGCGACAGTGGGTACTAGACTGGGGCACCTCAGGGAATTTTTGGGGAGGAAGAGCCATGCTCCATGTCTCCTGCTACCAACGGTTGTTCCCTCATTTGATTGTGAACGCATGAATAATGCATGGCGGATGGGTCTGAAGAAGGAGGAGGATGGAGGGATGGGGGGACCTCAACCTTAAAGGGGCCCTGCCACAGTGGGAGTCATTACCAATGAACAAGCACACTGATGAGCCAGAGAAAGAGTGACTGTGGAGGAGAAAAACAAACATGATACAAAAACAGAAGCAGGAAGAGCCAGCTCCTCCAACAGTTCAAGCATGCCGCTTATTAAGTGTTTCCATCACTCAGCTTGTTTTCTTGTTGTTTTCAACTGTTCACTCATCTATTCATAATTTAACTTGAGCAAATGAGATACATTTTCTTCTGTTTGTTTTTTCTACAAAGTTTATGATTAACAATGTTATATTGTGCAATTTATTCATAAGAAAGTAGTAAATGTAATATTTAGTATCATCAGGAAAGACAACGAAAGAAACTGAAGCACATTCAAAGGAACACACCACATGATGAACATGAGCTTATGATGTGTCAAACATGTTTAATAGTTTTGTCTGTGGTTGTAGTTGTTTGGACTGTGTTAGAAAGAGGAGCTACAGTGTGGAGAGTGTGTGTGAAAGGCAGGTGTGTTATCAGCAGTGTGTGCTGGCGAGCCCTTCCTGCGGCAGACGCTAAGGCGCTGTAGCACGACTAGGTGTTATCACTCATTCTGATTCCATATTACAGCATGACGGATGGGCCCCCGCGGGCCGGCGAGCGTCGCCGTGCGCTTATTACCACCGCTCTTAAGTGGGAGTTGATTTAGCTTAAATGGGTTGTTTCATAAGGAGAAGACACCAGCGCTGTCACCACTGCTCTGCTTGTCGTTACACTAAAGCACCACAATAATTGAATAATGCTCCCTCTACATACCTATTAGGGAGCTTAGGTACATAGTGTGCCCCAATAATTGCTTATACAACCTGGCTAATTTGGTCTTCACCCCTTCACACAGCTACAACACACTGTACAGGCTTTTCGCAGTCATCAAAGTTGTATTACTTCAAACAAGATATCTATTTTTAAAATTCATAATGGAAATGTTAATGTTAATCTACTGAGAAACAAAAAATAACATTTAAAAATCACATTCCTGTAAAATGAAACCAATTGAATTCTTGGATTCTGGAAGTGAAAATGGATCCACATTATGAAGGATTAGTGTTTCATTACCATATCACAGGCATAGATTTGAGCATCCAGCTCCAAAAAGAGCAGTGCTGTGGTGTTGGAGCGGAGGTGGTGATGATGGATACAGCACGTTGATAGCATTGCTCTGTTTCAGCTGGGTTTAAAGAGATTATTGCTGATGCAAGAGTGAGATGGCATGTGAACCGATAGTCTCAGTGGAGAAAACCCTCTGCCAGATCTCTCTAAGTGAACAAGAGGCCGTGGATTCAAGCGAGCGACTATGTACACCAAGAAAAGCAAAGTTGGCCGTCAATCATGAACCCCCACCAGAGATTTGACCATTTTTAACTGGAACTGACTGCAGCATGAAGTTTAGCAACAATCTTTTGATACTTAAAATGTACTAGCTTGTTTAAAAAATATAAAAAAGTGATATTTGTGTTTGCTAGTAAGTTGCTAGTATTGATCCCCGTAGGAAAAATGCAGGTGTCCAGTAGAAGGAGAAACACATCCATCCACACAAACAAAACAAATAAATAGATAATTCAAATAGTAGTTAACAATAGTAATAATAAAATACAACAGTCCTTCAGGTCACAGCAGCAGAGGTGGAGCAGCCTCTTGGTTGGGACCATTCTCTCTGCTCCAAAGTAAAATGCTAAATGGTTTATTCGCATTCCTCCAGTGGATTTCTGCTTGATCCGTTTTGTTTTTAGTTTGGCCCGTGAATCCTCTCTGCTCTGGTCTGGATCAGTGTTTAACTATGAGTAATAATACCGCAGTAACACATTGCAGGCCGTTTAAAATGCAGCATTGGTAATGATCCATATATTATCATTACCCCGTTCTCCAAGACTGGTTACTAAGTGTAAAAGAAAAATAGTGTGAATTGTTATTGGTTTGATAAAGTCCTAATTACAAACCGAACATTTGTTGCCAGAATCTAAGCACTGGTTACAGATGTGTTTTACCTGCTGGAGTTTGGGTACATTTCACTAAAGAAACAGGCAACCCAAATGACATGTGCTGCTAATGGGGATTCCTCCGGGTGCTCCATGTTCCCCTAAATAATATGTACAATAGATCCGATTTGAAAGGCACCACATAGATATGACTAAAACTTTATGCATCATATTTGAAATAAGGATTTTTTGAGTGAAACTGAAAATAACTGTAAAATAACAGAGCTCTTAGAATTATCAACGACTCTTCTGGCCACCCTGGAAAAGCTTTGTTCCAGCTTCTTCCCTCTGGCAGAAGATATCGTTCTCTGAGATGCAGGATATCTCGTTATGCTAACAGCTTCTTCCCACAGGCTGTTATCAGTTTGAACAGGGCACTTTAATGATCTTGCACTTGTATAGAAACTGTTTTTGCCAATTTCATAGTGACAATTGTTTAGCGTTTTATTTGTTTTATTTCTGTACTTTTAATGTTGTTTTATGTCTGTACTTGTCTTGTGCACACTGGGGACTTTTGCTAATGTATTCCAATGTGGTTTTACTGCAAATTGCAAATAAAGTGAATCTGAATGAGTTTGTATTTAAACCTTTGTATACAGTATTCATTCAATCGACTCAACAGAAAAAATAAATAATATAAAATCTACATATTTTTTAGTTATAGTAATGTGTTTAGTTATAGTAATGTGTAATATTGTTCAAATGTAAAGTGTCACATCCTAAAAAGATCCATAATTACAGAGTTAGAGAAATGAATAAAACACTAAAATGTGTGTGATTGTGAGGCACATACTGCTGCTGTGGGTGCTGTGCCACTCCGCTCTCTCCCATGCGTGCTCCTATGCCCTCTGGTTGCCAGTGATTGATGAGAGCCATGGCAAGGCAAATCATTTGGGTGGCCCCATCCACACAAGACGTAAATCAAATCAGCTTTACTAATGATCCTCAGATGCTCATCTGGCAGCAATGGCCACAACCCTATGGATCTTACATCAATAGACCACAATAAGTCTCATGAAAGTGTTGGGCTGCAGAGGCTGGTTCTTTACTACTGCAACTAATCTGTGAAGAAACTCTGACAAAGAACCAACAAAGGGAGTAATTATCTTGTATGGACAGTTGATGACAAGGACCTTAATATGAAATGTATAATAAAGGACATCAATGAAAATAAGAACGAAGACGGTCGATCCAAAGCTGAAAACACCCCAGAGTAATGACATAGGCTCAGGTGCTAGCAGCGAAATGGAAATAATCTACAGCAGGGGTGCTCACACTTTTTCAGCATGCGAGCTACTTATAAAAGGATCAAGTCAAAATGATCTACCTACTACACAAAAATGCAAATCATATATTTATTTCAAAAAATATTCTTTATACCTACAATGTATGTTTATGTACATGCAAAACCGCATGAGCCAATTTAGCACAACACAATTACCTATGTACATTTTTTGTCATTACCCGAGTTTACTCTGATGACTTGCACTGAATTGAATCGGCCAGGGAGGCATAGTCCGGAAAATTGGTGGTAACTCGCTGACAAGTTTGTCGTGGTTTAGCTTTCCTGCACTGAGCGCGGTTGTTTGCGCATGTGCAGTCACCTAAGTGTCAGTAAAACATTACTGAGTAAAACACAGATGTCATTTGACTGTGGTGCCATGTCCATGTGCCATGCCTGTTTTTTTAAAATCCAAATATTTCCCCTCCTCAGTTTATAAAATAATTTGCATCCACACATCTGCGTTATCAATCACATTCGTAACATTCCAAACATGTGCGTCTCTTACGTCCTGTCCTGCGTTGGGGAAAAACACAGAAGTGGGCGGAGCTTTGATGCAGACGCCGGTAACGGCACTTTTACAGTCATAGAAGACACTCAGAGTAAAGATGTATGTTTACAAGCACTGACCCCGTCCTCAGTCCTGGTTTAGTCCTGGTTTAGTCCTGGTTTAGTCCTGGTTTAGTCCTGGTTTGGTTGTTTTCGAGCGTGAGTCCCCGCGATCACTTTGCTGCTCTCTGATGTGGAGGATGTTCGCTGCTGCGAGCATCTCACAGAGAACAGTTTTTAAGGTAGTATGATCCATGCTTCAGTGATCAGAGGAATTTAGGGGGGTACTGTGGCGTGCGAGAACGCAAAACTCCGGTTATCTCTGTCTACACACAAATGCATTAACGGAGTTTTCAAAAATCTCCACTTTGCCCGGAGTTTTTTGTATATATTCGTTTAGAATGTGTAATTTTTTCATTTATTTAATGCGATCTACCAATACTACCTTTGCGATCGACTGGTAGATCGCGATCGACGTATTGAGCACCCCTGATCTACAGGAACTGTGTTCTCATAAGCAGCACGTCTGTGTCAGTATGGCTGCCATGGCATGTTATACCTCATTTTAAAGCTAATGTTCTCAAGAAAGCAATCATGTCAGTTAGTGTTTTGCCCAACAAGTTATTAGATATCGATCAAATCTAAACCATCTGAACAAAATAGAAAATACTCTTAAAGAAAAGTATTTTACGCTGGGATCAGAACATGTGGTTCCGGTAAACGGGCCACACCTACACCACTTGGCGACTGATGGAAGACTAATGTGGACTTAAACAGATTTTTACACTAACAGGACATGATAGACGCCTTTTCTCCTCTGTGGTACATACAGAGGGTCTGCAGGAACTTAACTAGAATATATTATCAAATTAAATGTGATCACTTGATATAAGTAAGAATTATAAAAAAATAATGACTTCATATGAAGTTTCTATATACTACAATGTATATTTTAATATTTTAAGTCCTATTCTAGGACTGAGTATATTGTACATTTAATGTATGTATTTATCAGGACAATATAGAATTACATGATGAGATGCTTAGACTAATCTCCATCGATGGTCCTCAGAAGGAGAGTTAATTAAACATTAAGTAGATACTATCACAATCCTTGTGAGGTAATTTCTTGAACCTACGTGAAGTACATTGCACTAATTCAGGTTTTACAGCAATTCTGAAATTCTGTGCGCTGCATATAAACTGGATTGAAAGTTGGATACAGGACTTTTAAGGTGGCAACGTGTCCTTATGCTTCAGCCGCTGATACGTTTTAAAGGTACTTAAAGGTACTTTAAAGGACTCCATCAGCGCCAAAGCATGCCTGGATGAAGAAATCCACTGCTTATGTATTTTTGAGAAGGTGTAGGAGAAACAGAAGCTTCAGTCTCGTGAGCATGACCTCCTCGAAGTGGAGCGGAAACCAGAGTCAATGGGAGAAAAAAAAAAGTACAATTTGGGAAAAGCTCAGGAGAAATCTCATGACCTTGTTTTTGTGAGTCATCATCGAGACATGATTCTGAGAAGCAGCTGTCATGTGAAACGACAAAGTACAAATACATTTCTACTACAATTAAGGTTCTTTTATCTAATTAAAGAGGCAACATTCTACGTTTGTGGAATAGTGTGTACGCATTATAAAAAAATAATCCTGTACAGTTTAGTGACAGCTTTGGGAGAGACTTCTTTTGGCTGATTACCATCTGATTATA